TGTGTGTTATTTCCTTGGTACTTTTTTCCTTTACTTATATGTAAATGTTACCTTCTCTTTCCACCCCCTCTCATCCTACTTCTCTCATATTTTCTATTACTTTTTTTCCCCCTGATTTATTTTCTAGTGTCTTGCTTTTCTTTTTTTTTTTTCTTTCTTTTTTCTTGTTCTAATCCTTCTCTGTCTGTAGCAGCAAAAAAAAAAAAGTGATAGTGACTCATGGCCCCTCGATACATCAGATTTATTATAAAGGCTTCTCTTTCCATCTCTTTCAAACAGAGTCAATTTTATTTAAGAGAAGTATCAACTCCTGGCAACATTCTGTCATAATAGGTGGCTCATCATAGTAGAATGAGGAGGCTTAAAGGAAGAYATTTCTGAGTGTGTTACTACATCAGAAACATAGTATTTGTACCTTCCTGGAAGATGTGGCCTCAGATGATRGAGTTCACGTTTGCTTTCTATTTACACAGGGAGGGCATAGACTTGGAGATAAAGCAAACATTCAGCAAGGTGCAGCTATTTTCAGCTACTGTTTTTAAAGCCCTATTCATCTTTTGGAGGCAGAGCTCTGAAAAGCTGTCCCTCAGTGCACAATGCTGTGCTAATCTGACTGGCAGAGAGTGGTGTGGTTTCCCTGCTTGTTGTTTTTGAGCTGTCCCTAACCGTGGTTGTCTTTTCCACAGGAAAACGGCTTCCTAACSAAGTTTGAAAGAAGATCACTACTGTCTTTCTCCAAAATTACAGCCCTGTTTCTAGCTGTTGTCTCCTTGTTCAGAGAGTACTACTGAAGTTAAAGGATCTGTCATTCATGTGTAAACCAGACATTGCCCCAAGCTTCACTTTCTCAGCCTTCCTCCAAGCAATAGCAACAAGAAAATATTTCCCTTCCATAATCTGTTTTTAATTTATTTGTATTTATTTTGACTAAATACAATGTTTAACATTGCCATCCTAATTACCAAATCTGAAGATGAGATCCCTCCAAAGATCGTGCAGCAATTCAGGTCCACCTTTCCAGGGAGGATTGCTTCGAGATCATTTTCCACATCCAGACAGCTCTTGGAATCTCTCTTACATCTCCATGAAAGGACATTGTTTTAGTGAAATACAATCCAATGGGTTAAGAAACAAGTTTTTATGTCATTTGTTTTGTAAATGAAATACTACTGTAATGCATTTTATTGCAACCTTTGTATAAGCAAAAGGGGGGGGATTTTTTGTGAAGAAAAAAGAAATGAGAACTCCAGCACAGAAGTGGGTAGAAGTTACACAGACTAAGAAATTTGTATGGGAAGAACTGTTCGTGGAAGCCAGCAACTTAAAAATGTGCACTCACTTACTATTAATGCAATGGTATGTGTTTCTGTGCTGTATTTTTTTAATTGCTCATATCTTCAATGAATGTTCTTTCATTTTTGTGTGATGTAGTCATCTGGCTGAACTTTTTTTTTTAAGCTAGATGTTTAAAAATAGGCAAGTACAAAATATTTTGAAATGAGAAATTTGTGTAAATACACTAATAATTTAGGAAAAGAAATTAAAATAGGTATTTTAAAGTCTTGAGATTGGTCTCCTTCTTTTCAAAAAAAATTGGAGTATGGGAAAAGATCTGCCTGAGTCAGATAATCTTAGGAAAGTTATCACAATGCTACTGGAAATCCAAGTAGTTTATGGGTTTGACCTGATGTCCATGGATGTCAAGACTTTAATTTTCTGTAGTACTTTTTAGGTGTTGTCTGGTAGCTTGTATAAGAAACAGATATCTTGTRGCAAAATAAATGAATTGGATCAGCTCTGATGACAGTCATTAGTGTTTTGGGATACATCATAAAATTCAACAAATCCAGAATGCAACGTAAGAGACTTCCAGGTTTTCCAGCCTGGGATAATTAATGTTTTTACTCAAATTCCATTTGCTTTCAAAGGCTAAACAGTAGTTCCTCAAGARCTCATTCTAGAAGGGTTTTGTTTAGCTGTAGTGACTTTCTGTTCGGGAGCTAAGGCTGGGTCTAAACACCCTTCTTCATTTTTCAGATGTGTTGGGAGGTGAAGCAGCTGCGGCCTGTGGCACACAACAGCAGTGTTCTCTGAGACAAATCCTCTAGAAAATCCAGGCTTTATGACACTGAGAGAACAAATCAGACTCTTCTGGTAATGGGCTCTCCATTTTTCATTTCAACAGGATACTTTTTTTTGCAGTAAGAGCAATTATTCACTGGAACAACCTGCCCAKGGATRTGGAAGAGTTCCYCTCYCTGGCAGYTTTCAGGATACAAMTGAACAGRGCACKAGGTAGTTTTCATCCAGGAAAGGYTGGACMACATGAGTTTTCAAAGWCCCTTCTAGSCTGGGYTGTTCTGTGATTYCATGGTCTAACTTGGTGGGTTTAAYCACAGAASACACACAGACATTAATGTTTGTTAGAACATRTGTTTCTCCCTCTCCCTCCCCAGTGAAAACAAAAAATGTGATGTAGCATGCAGGCAGGATTTGTGAGGTTGCTGTTGCTGTTGAAGAAAAGATGGCACCATCCACAGGGCAAGGGGCAGCAAAAGGAAAATGCCCAACTCCAGAACACCTATGGAARCAACTGTCAGAAATGACATTTTAAATCATGTTATGACATGTATGTCCTTATTAGCAGTCCAAGTCTTCACGAAAAGAGCAGTAATTCTTACTCAGTTCCTTTTTGAGCACTACTGTAAGCACGTACTACAGTGGCTAACACCAATCTATTAATATCGCATCCACTTCCTTTTACACTGATCTAGTAACCTATTTTATAGTCAGAAGTACAATTTTTTAGTCAAAGGGTAACTGTGTCTTTTCAAAATGTAGGTGACACAATAATTTTAGAACTCATCTTCATGGTAAGGGCAGGGTTTAAACAAAAGAAGCCTGAATCATTAATGTTCTAGTGAGCTCCAGGTTAACTTCACTGGGACAAAAACCTCCTTTTGCTCTGCACTGAAGAGCAAGAAAACCAGTGATGAGATGTACTACCCCAATTCTAAGCACAGTAAAACATATGAAAATGGCAGGATTATTAGCTAAGTTTATAAAAGTGCTGCTGTAACTGAAGTTATCCATACATGACACTGAGCAGTGCCCAGGTCCTGGGGCACCGCTGTTGAAGGAACCCTTGGCTCTGCCAGGCAATTCACGGGAGAGTAAAGTGCTGCTTCTGGAGCAAAAGGTGAAGTCAAAGAGCTGCACACTGGGACAGCTGATGACTTCATCAATGCACACAGTAGCTAAATTGAGATGTCACTGAAAGCCACATAGAAGAGATTCATGGAAACAGCCGTTCTCCTATAGAAATGACTTTTTCAGCACTTAAAATCACAGAATCAGTCAGGCTGGAAAAAACCCCTGAGGTCATTGAGTCCCACCTTTGACTGGTCACCACCTTGTCAGCTG